GGGCGGCATCGTGATCTCGCCGTTCCGGCTGGAGGAATTGACGAACCGCCTGGCCTCGCTGCAGCAGGAAAACAAGGTACTCAAGATCGAGCTGGAGACCTACAAACTCAAGTGCAAGGCGCTGCAGGAGGAGAACCGCGACCTACGCAAGGCCAGCGTCACCATCGTGAGTGCCCAGCAGGGCCGCGCGGCGGGCGGCGCCTTCCCGCGCGCTGGGGGCGGTGAAGAAGCCTTACGGCGCGCTGAGCGGGGCGTGGCGGCTGGGCCCAGGTGCCGGGCGGGGCCGGAAACCGCGGGGTGTTTGGGCTCCCCCAGGATCCTTCCCCCTCCTTCCCGCGGCCCGGGCCGGTTCTGGGTCCGAGTCCCGCGCTGCCCCTGCCCGGGGTCTGCTGCCTCTGCAGTCTAGATCTCCTCAAGCAGCTCTAAGAAATCTGTCCTGGGCCTGGTCTGTCTCCTGTAAAATTGGTTCTTCTTTTTCGCCTTTAAAAGCAGGAGCCAAAAATAGCACTGGGGCCCCACCTGCTCAGGTCAGCAGCTCTCAACCTTGTTTTAGACTGGAGGCAGTTCCTGTGAAAATGCCAGTGCTTGGTGTTTCTTTGCCTACAAGAAAATATCAGAGCAGTTCTATTGCAAGGAACTTGGGGAGATATGAGCTTGGCAGAGACTTTTAAGGTTGTAGGTTTGGTATGAGTTGTGTGTACACATACTACAGGGCAGGCATTACATGGACCTCTGGTTGAGAATGGCTGGTTTAGACATCTTCCTAAACCACCCCCAGATGCTGTGCGAATATGATTAGACACGATTAAATCAAACAGGGGAACAAAATTGGTGATTTCTTCACTATGGCTATTAAAGAATAAGTGCTTAATTTTGCGGTAATATCTGAGATTTTGCCAGTACAGCTTTTCATGTTAGACAACTGACAAGTGTGACCTTGTTAAGGTAGATGGTATAAAATCATTTTAATGGAAAGGAAGCCTCTGGGAATTTTGTGCAAAGAATAAGACTAGGGATTTCACAAAACCCTTCAGGCAGGGTATGACATGTACTGGAATGGAAGATAGTTTGAGGATCAGCAAGTTATAGTTTTTCATACCCTGCTTTTATCAGCACCAAATGTGAGCAGCAAGTGGTAGTAAACTGCAAACTTTCTCATACTAATACTAGTACATGTTTGTGTGTTTGCTCTCCAGTTAACTTGAATAGATTGCTTGGGAGCTCATTTAAAATAAGACTTGGAAACTTGTTCCTTCATTTCAGTAGTATTTTAAAAGAAGAATTTTTACAGTATTGTGGCAGACATGGAAGCCCAAGTACTGAATTGTGTAAAAGTTGAGTACCCTTTTAAGTAACATATAAGGGCATTGTTAACCTTAGAATAATAATTTTAAAAATGTACGAAGCCCTTTGCTTTGGCCTGTGAGAGGTAGGGCGAGTGATTTACGAACCTTAAGGGAGGAAAAAAAGAAATCTGTTAGCCCCTTGGATTATCTGATGGGGCTATAAATATATTGACAAATTTATTTTCCATAAGCGTTCTCGATATTCATATTTAAGTGCTTTTAAGTAAATAGCTTGGTATGTCTAGTTAGGTGATAGCATTTTAAGTTCTGAGCTAATATGCAGGTTTTTTTATACTTGTGATAAAAGTTGTGACAGTTGAAATTAAGTTGGATCCTACATATCTTTACTCAGATAGCTAGATGTTGGTATACAGTGTCATTCTCTTAGAATGCAAAGTCTGTTGTAAGCATTTACTGTCAGACCTAGCTTTTTTCCAGATATAATCATCATTTTATTGGTAATAACTTCACATCTTATTGGTAGTAATGACATATAGGCTGTTAGATCTGGTGGGTCTTGGTGAGGCTCTGGAACCAATCATGAGGAACCTCTTTTGTTCCCCCATTAGGTATTCAGATGTTTAGCACAGTGAGTGTTAACCTGGATGCCGTGGCACCCTGGGGTATTTTAGTTTCTTTTCAAGGGTACCACAGGACACCACACAATGTTAGTAGGTGTGCAAACCTGATTGAAAAGTTTAACCTAAAGATTTCAAATGGGAATCCATAGTGTTCAAAACATTTTGAGCTGTGTAATTTGCAACAGAAGAATTGCTTTAGTATTTTTCTGTAGTCAAAAATGAGTGAAAACTAAGAGTTTGAATTTTTGGATGGGTGCCCCAGCTTGGAAAGGTTGTGAACCACTGTTTTAGAAGAAAGTAGGCTTGAAAAGTGCCTGAAATTTAGTTACAGTAGTAATTTATTCAAGACTGACAAAAATAGTGTTAGTTGCAGAAATGTTCACTTATCATCAAGTATTAGCTGAAATGTACATGTTGTGCTTTTTGTTATCGGGTTGGGGATCTTGTCAACTGGAAATCTTTTTTGACTTTGCAGTGAGGAGAGATATTCATCAGGACTTCAAAACATGTCACTGAACAATTTCTAAAGATAACAATAAGTACAAAATGTCTAATTTCCATAAAATATTCTCTGAAGTTTACTTTGGGGGCTGACTAGTTTAGATACTAATCATACATTAATTCATAAATGGGTGCTATTTTTGTTCAAGTCTGCAGTCCAGTAACGGAGATCTTTTTACAAGATCTCAGAGGAATGGAGAAAAGGTGCAACATTTCTATAGCAACCTGTGGGTTGGCTGGTAGATCAACATCTTTAGAAGAATCTCTGTTGAATTAGCTCTTAGAAGTGGTTTGGACAGTAAAACACACCGTTTAGAATACTGAAAATAGAATGAGGCAACATAATGGTGAGCATGAAGCAAAAAAACCCAGAGTATAGTCAGTTGCTTGAATTAACTGCTGAAGCTTAAAAAAGTAGAGGTGATTAGGAAAATAAAATCAGTAAGGAGACAGAGGCCTTGGAGAAGGTATCAGAATGTTTCTTTCAAGTGGAACCTTGCAATTGAAATTACGGACATGTAGTAGAGCTTTCTATTTATACTGTCTGCTCCTTAGACATATTTTGCCCTTTTCAGCCTGTCAGCATTAACAGTGGCCTGCAAGTTGTCACTTATTATGTCTCCTTTTTTTTAAAAATGCAGAATTGTAGTGTTTTGGATCATCATAAAACATAACTTTTCAAGACTGCGCCATACTGTACACAATCCTTTAATAACACATTTATAGTCGAAATATACCATGCCCTGTTACTCCAGACTGGAAGTGGTTGGTCACAATTTGTTAGAGAAAATTAAAAGTGATTTGGAGCCACAAGTAAGTAAATGTTGTACTTGAAAGATGGGTGAAAAGCAGCTGTTCTTCTACACCTCTTGTATACAGCAACACTAAAGAAAATACTTCCATGTATTTAGTTCCACGAAATGTAACCCTGTGGTTGTAAGCCTGTGTTAGCTATGGCAGTGATGTCATGGATCAACTTTTATTTTTATCATTAATGAAGCAGAATTCATTTGAATGGAAATAATATAGGAAACTTAAATATTAGAAGTTACATTAGTGCAAAGGTATGTGTAATGCACCAACAGACGGATGAACAACGCTTGTCCCCCAGCGGCTGGGGGGACATGGTGGCAAGAGTGCTGCGGTGGTAAGTGGGGAGCTCCCGCAGATGCTGCCAGCTCTGGTTGGGGGGAAGGTGGTGAGCTGCTGGTGTCAGCGGCCAGCAACAATTGCTGACTTCCTGCAGATGGTTGTCCGCCTTTTCGTAGGAGGTGTACTGCCACGCTCAGCTGCAAGGGACAAGCGTTATTCATGCATCTGTGGGTGTGTGTTACACACACCTTTGCACTAATGATAACTTGATAACTCTGCCTTTTTTGTTTTCTGTTTGGCAAGCCTGAATTTTTTTTGCTCTTTCCTGTCTACTGGAATTCACCATCTAGCACAGGGTGTCAAGGGCCTGCTGCAAGGCAGTAGACCTTGACTTCAAGAGGGCCAACTTCAACGAGTTGAGAAGATTGGTAGGAGGGGCACTGAGGTCCTGGAGGGTAGGGGAGCTGGGTGTCCAAGACGAGTGGTCATTCCTTAAGAAGATGATCCTCCGAGCCCAGGGGGTGACACTCCCAACAAGAATCAAAAGGGGCAAGAGTGCTCAAAAGCCCCCTCTGGTTTGCCAGAGGCATTTAGGAACACCTGAAAGCCAAAAAGGAGGCGTACACCCAGTAGAAAGGAAGGGCCATCAGCAAAGAGGAGTATACCTCCATCACTCCAACACGGGTTCGTTAGAGGCAGGTCCTGTCAGAACAACCTGGTGGCCTTCTATGACCAGGTCACCAAATCCTTAGATGCAGGGGTAGCAGTGGATATAGTCTTTCTGGACTTTAGGAAGGCCTTCGGCACTGTCTCTCACAGGCCTGTTACAAACTAGTCAGAGGGGACCAGCAGGCATTGGGGTTCCCCTGAGCACTACCAGGAGTGACTAGAAATAATGGTCACAAGCTTGCACAGGGTAGATTCAGATTAGACATCAGGAGGTGCTACTTCACTGTCAGGGTGGCTAGAATCTGGAACCAACTTCCAAGAGAAGTGCTGCTGGCTCCTACCTTGGGGGGTCTTTAAGACAAGGCTAGACAAACACCTTGCTGGGGTTGTTTGACCCCAGTACTCTTTCCTGCCATGGAAGGGGGTCGAAGTTGATGATCTGCCCTTCCGACCCTACAAACTATGAAACTCGGGTTTGTAGGGCGGCTGTTAGGAAAGCTAAGGCAGATATGGAACTAGGGCTTGCATCGAGGATCAAAGACAACAAAAAGTCCGTTTTTAAATACATAGGGAGTATGAAGAAGGCACTGGGTAATGTGGGGACCAGATGCTTGGCAATCTGGTCGTTGCATCAGAGAAAAAGGCAGACCCTTTTAACAAATTCTTTGCCTCCATTTTTTTGTGAAGGGACTGGGACATCTCCCCCACTGGGATTCAGGATGGACTCAGGAGAGACTCTGCCAGGCCTAGGGTCAGTGAGGACTGAGTTAGGGAACTTCTGGAGGAGCTGGACGTGTTCAAATCAGCAGATCCAGATGCTCTCCAACCCAGGGTTCTGAGGGAATTGGCAGGGGTTATCACAGGGCCCCTGGCACGGCTTTACAAGCACTCGTGGTGCTCTGGCCAGCTGCCAGAAGACTGGAAGAAGGCCACTGTGGTCCTCATTTTCGAAAAAGGGAGAAGGGAGGATCTGGGTA